GAAGGAAGGAAGGAAGGAAGGAAGGAAGGAAGGAAGGAAGGAAGGAAGGAAGGAAGGAAAGGAAAGGAACGGTGTTTGGGAAGGAGCCAGATGTGTCTTCAGGCTGAATACGTGTGTCTCAGTAGAGGACAAAGCCCAGGGCTCGGCAGCCAGAAGGCCTGGCTGGGTTGAATCCCAGCTCTGTCACTGACATGTACTCTGACCCCAGCAAACAGGCATCACCCTTTCCCCTATCTGAACCCTGGAGATGGGACAGTCCTTCCTCACAGGGCCATTGAGATTCCGGAAGGATGGAGTTGGAGAATCCAGACACCCGGTAGGCAGCTAGCACACAACATTCTCCAGGAGGAGACGGGGGTGTGGGGCGGGGAAGAGGCCAGCACTGTCCATGTCTGGGAGACGCCAGGATCCTCCGTGAGGGAGGCCTGCGCCGTGGATCTGGCTCATGGCCCCCTGCCCCAACATGCTGACCTTAGAGCCTGAAAGAAGACACCAGGCCAGGCCGGGGTCAGGCTAAGGCCTGGAGGCCCAGGGCCTGTAACAGGATCCGTGGCCACCTGCCCCTGACACCAGCAGCTTGTGTGTTTGGTAGCAACTCGTCACTGTTTGCTGCCCGACAGCTGGGTGGGACCCAACCACGGGAAGATGCAAGGTCTCACCTGCTGTCCCCAGCCTGGCGCTACCCCAGGGGCCATCGGCACCCTCCGGGCGGGCGGGCGGGCACTTCGCGGGCTGCGAGAACAGGTCTCCAGGGAGATGGTGGGAACACAGAACTGGCGTCTCAGTTCCATCCGCATGTCCCCATTAAGTCCCCTCTCCCTCCCTGCCTGTCCCCCATCGGCTGAGGGATCGAGTCCTGTGAAGAGGCCCTTGGCTGCTGACCCTTCTTCGCTGGGGTGCCATGACTGGACTGCCGAGTCACAGGGATTTGGTAGCCATGGACAAGTCATCTGTGAGCATGGAATACTGTAGCTGTAAGGCATACTTGGGCCAGAAACAGCCATCACCGGGGGACAGGCCTGCCTTCAAAGCCTCCAGAAGTTCCTGTCTCTAGGCCCTCTTTCCCCAGCTCTCAGGGCGGGTACCTGCCCGTATCCACGTTTCAGGGCTCTCCTCTCCCAGGAAGCCTTTCCTGAGGAGAGCAAGCCTCAAGAGACACCACCTCCAAATCACATTAGGTTACTGTGGGGCTCTCGTGCGTCTCCTCTGGCTTGTACTCCAGGAGGAGAGGGACGGTGCCATTTGCCTGCCAGCCTCTCTGCTTTAGGCAGGGCAGCAGCTGGACAGAAGCCAGGTGGGAGGGACCTGGACGCAGAGCCAAGGACACCTGGCTCTGCCTCGAGGGCTCCCTGGGCTGGACTTCAGGCCTCCGCGAGCCCCCAAAGCAGGCAGTCTGAGGGGCCTGTGCCTTGCTGAGGTCTGCTCAAGTCAGTCTGGAGACCGAGGGGGACGCGGGCATGTCCCTGTTAGGAGCCAGGCTTTCTGTGGAGCTACAGGGTAGAATTGAGGCTACAGTTTGCTGTAGAGAGGGTCTTGCTAGCCTTTTCTTATGCTCAACACTCTCTCTGTCGCACCCCACTGATCCAGTGCCCGTGGTGTTTCCTAGAGTCCAGGCCAGGCAGGTTGGGTGCGGCTTTACCGATAGTCTTTTGTGGCTATCACCTACCCTGGGAAGCAGGCCTTAGTTCTAGGCCAGCTGTGGGCCAAGCTGAGTGTTCCTCCCCACCCCTGCCCTAAAGTATTTATAGAAGCTATTTTGGGAATTTTCCTTTTGAGCTCCAGGCACATTCCTGGGATTCTGTAACAGCCTTTCCAGCTGGGAAGCTGGGAATCAGCTGGGAGGCTGCAGGAGACAGCAGGTCCCTGGAGGCCCCCCCCCCCCCCCCGTGAGCCATTGCACAGGAAGTCTCCTCTTCAGGCGCGTTTGGGGAGGCTGCATGCTTCCAGGCCAGTGCTCCAGGTCTGATCAGGTGTGTCACCGTCAACCTGTCCAGCCAGACCGGGGACATACCCTTCAAATCCCACATCCCTTCCAGAACATGGTCGCTGGAGTCACAGGCCAGTTCTGCTTCCCTGTTGGAAGCCAAGGATGCAACTCTTTCCAGTTCCACGCAGTGCCCAGCGGATATGCTAACCCCAGGTCTCTTGAAGAGGCTCTTGCTGAGAAGGTACCCAGATTCACAGGGAGCCCAGCCTAGGAGTCGTCGTCTAGGGTAGCTGGTGGCTGCCGACCTTGTGTTACCAAACTCATGGCCTTTTCTTTCTCTTGTGGGTCTCCGGGGTGCAGTGCAATGGTCTAGAGACCCAGCTGGCTCCTCTGACTGGCTGGGGTTATCTGTCTTCCAAGGAGCCTCTGGGCTAAGAGGCCAAAAGCACTGCCCAGAGGCAGGTCACCTCTTGTGATGCTGTGGCTCACAGAGGACCAGGAAGCAGAAGCTTTCGAAAGCCAGGCCCACCTCCGGCCAAGGCTGGCCTTGACTCATCCTCTTAAGTCCTCAGGGGTCGAGTAGGAGGCTGAGCTTTAGTGGGGTGACCAACAGCCATTTGAGGAAAGGGTGGCTTATTGGACAAGAGGGTTAATTAGGGGGGTTGCACCCTGTGGCCACCTCCAGACCGTCTTTCCCATTCCTCTGTTGATAAAATGGATTCTGGAGCTAAATCAAGTCAACTGTGTCCAACTGTCATCCTGATCTGAACCTGTGCCCAGCCAGGCAAGCCGGGCTGGGCGGGTTGGGGGTGGGGAGGAGATTCTAAACCCTGGCCTGTCCGATGTGGGGATGGCAGTGCCTGGCACTACCACCTAGGGAGCACCCAGACCTCTTCCCTACCTCCGCTTCTGTTTGCCACCAGGAGCATGCCTCCAGGGA